GCTTTATAGTAGCTTTTATTTTAGGATTAGGTCAGTTCTACTTTACTTTAAGATGAGGCCTTTCCAGGATCTCTTAGAAATGTTCACAGTGTTCAGTGAAGTCTCTCCGCTGTGACTAGCTGGAACTCATTACCATTTCAGATCCTTCCCAAACCCTGATAGTCTTTCTCCCTCTGATACTTATCCTTTCCCAGTGTGTGTAACATTGTGTTTAGCTAATGACCCAGGGGTTCCTCTTTGCAGACTTCCAGTGTTCCTTTTCTGCCTTACCCACTTTCGTCTGGAAGGCTGCCTTGCAGATTCTAGTCAGCTTGGTAGCTCCAAACTGTAACCTTCATCACAGTTCAGTGAGACTTCCATGTCCTGTTTGAGGTCTCACTTCATGCTTCGTAGTCGAGAAAGTGCTTCCTGGCAGAGAGCGAGGGCGAGCCTGGGGCTCGCCGCATCTGTTTCCCTTTCTCCCTGTGATCACATCTTGTCCGGCTTGTAATAAAGCATCTGAAAATAGTCCTTTGCCTTATTTTATTTTTATGGTGGTAGGCCTAATCTGAAACTAGTGACTCGGGGTTTTTTTTTCCTTTCTTTCTTTTAATTACAAAAGTAGTACATAATTGTAACAAATTCAAATAACGAAGAAATAGAAAAGTAACAAGAAGATTGTATTATCTTAATTGGCATTCTTCATAGAAACTTAGTGATTTAATATAAAATCCTCTATGCTCATATAAACTTGTATATACAAGGTTTGACTTTCTTCTTTGGTTAAAAAAACAGCAAGATCATCCTATGTATTTTGTTCTTCAACTTGCTTTCCCATGTGTTGTACTGATGACGTCTTTTCCAGTCAGTGTGCATAGGTGTAATTCAGTCTTTTATTTAATTACAATTTTCTTTTTTTCTTTTTGGCCTAGCATGTGGCTTGTGAGATCTTAGTTCCCTTATCAGGGATCTAGCCCTTGCCCACTGCAGTGGAAGCACAGGGTCTTAACTTCTGGACCACCAGGGAAGTCCCTATAATCCAGTCTTTTAAATGTAGACACACTGTTCCATTGCGAGAATGTGAACCCCATTTTATTCATCTGTTTCCCTATTTGTGGAAGTTTAGATGGTATACTGTGGCTTATTTTTTTCTTTCTCCTCTTATCTTTGTCCCTTTCCCCTTCCAACAGTGCTGGAAAAGACATCCTGTTTGTCCATGGGTGTAGAATTAAAAATGTAGCTACTACCATGTTTCCTTCCTGAAGGTTATACTTAATACAACCATGTAAAGGGTATGAGTGAAGCCATTCTTTTTCCCCTATCAGCACCGTAAGTTACCCATTTTCTGAAATATCATCAGGTTAGCAGAGGGGAAAAAAGCACCTCATTTCTAATTTGCGTATCTTTATTTATTAGTGAAGCATATGTTAAATGGCTATTTTTGTGTGTTTGTGTGTGTATGTGAATTGTTAGGTCATATCCTTTTGCCTGTATTCATCTTGGTTTACTTGACTTTTCTTTATTGATTGTGTCCTTATTTGACTATTCTCTTATTATTTCTAGATAGTATGAATGTTATCCTTTGTCATTTATTGCAGATATTTTCCCAAATCCATTTGTCTTTTAAATTTATTATGTCTTGTTTTCACAGAGAGGTTTTTTTTGGTGTGGGGTGGGTGGTAACCACCCTTGTCATTCTTTTTTTCCTTTATAGTTTCAAACTTTCTTATGCTTTAGAACTTCCTTGTTCTAGAATTGTGTAGTTTTTCTCATATCTGCTACCAGCACTGTTGAAAAATGTTTCTTCGAGCATTTAGATAATTAACTCCTCTGCGCGTCTTCTAGTCTTACTAGTTTGTTCTTGCTCACCGGTTCTTGATGGCAGAGTCAGAGAATGTTTGGGAGAGAGTGTTTATTGAACCCTTGGTGATCGCCCCCATGGTCACACCCAGCCGTTTGACAGCAGCACTGAGGATAAAGCCCAGGGTTCTTATTTTAAGTTCTTCCCCTTTTCCATTTCTAATCTGGGTACATGGGCACTGGACTGCAGTGTGCTTCTTCAGCCTTAGGCTGCTGTTGTGTACCAGCAGAGTATGAGGCGCTGGTGATAAAGTTATGAACAGAATGGACACAGCATCTGATGTGGAATTAATAGTTTAATGCACAAGACAGACAGTGAGAAGTAGACATATCTACTGATTTGGGATAAGGGCTGTGAAAGATATGAAATCATTGGAATGGAGAACAGTGGGGCCTAGAGGCTGCTGAGACAGGGCAGTCGGAGAACGCTGCCCGAGCGAGTGAGGTTTAAGTGGAGATGTGAGAGATGGGGAGGAGCCTGGGATGGGTTCAGGGGAGAGAGTTCCAGGCCGAGTGGACGGAAGCTCTGAGGCGGAGGCAAGCTCAGCAGCTGGTCCTGAGTGAGAGCCAGTTTAAACGGCTTCTCCAGGAACGGGGTAATTGTCAGATTGCTGGTGAACTCTTTTCGTCAGCCTTATTGAATACTTTCAGAAAACTCTGTTGACACTGGCTTTGTAAAAATCTGTGCTGTTCACTCCTCTCTAAAATCACACAGAATGCTGGAAAAATCTGGTGATACCATCTTCATTTTCACATTGTTAGGTGAAATTTTATCTTGTGGTGAAAACATCTTTATTTGGGTCAGAACACATGCTGAGTTTTCTGGAGCAGCTGGTTATAACTAGAAGTGATAGTAAAAACAAATTCCCTTCAGATGGGGCTTATTTCAGACAGATACAGAATATGTACATAAATCTGTTTATCCTCCTATAAAAATGAAATAAGAGGAAAGATCTGTTATCACAGGTAAAACAAATAATGGAAAAATGTTGCATTGTTTGTTTAGCACGTTAATATTTTTCAGACATTAAATTGTCCACTTGCTGGTGTTCTATAGCATCTGTGTGTATATGGGTCTTGGAGTCTTGTGTTGTTATTCTGTGCTTAAATTTACTTACAGGTTTCATTAATTTTTTTTAAAGCTATGTGAGGACAGAGAAGTGACTTTTTTTTTTCACTTTCTTGTCATCTTAAAAATTGCTTTTCCAAAGTGTATGCAGTTCTTTGTTAGGGTTAAAATTCACTAGACCTTCCTGCATTCGAGGGCCTCTCTTGGCTTTTTTAGTAGGCTTTTCACCCTTTGAAAAATAGAGTGAGGAAACAAATGGACGTCTGCTGTACTTTTCCCATGAACAGAACCTATTTTACATATGAGGGATAAGAGGGAGGTTTGAATTCTATAATATATCTTTTAGGTGGAAAAAGACTTCAGTTATGTAATTCATGTTTAATTGTTTGTTAGTCCCTAAGGAATGGTAAACCCTTACCATTATTACGGATTTCTCTTGGGCTTTGCTTGTTAGTGAAACATTTCGTTCCAGGTCCTGGGATGGCACTGTCGAGTAAGACCTTGTCTCAGACACTTGTGGGGAAGACACTCATGTAAGCACATTGTCTGATGTGATAAATGCTGAGGGACTTTTGTAGAGCATGTTTGGGGGCATAGAGAGGAGGGTGGTCTGTTTTGACGAGTGTCAAAGAAGGAAGAGGTGACAGTTTGTTACCAGAGGTGGCTGTCACCAACAAGAACCCTTTGAGGAACCTTGGAGATGAACCTTCTAGGTAGAAACAGCAGTGTGTGTGGAAGATACAGACTAGAGCGTGCATGCATGGTTTGTTTGCCAGGTGGTGGTGGTACTTACTTACTGGTGAGTTCTGAGGTATATGATGGAGGAAGGGGTGGGAGGTGAACTGGAAAGCCCTGAGGGGACCGTTGGTGAAGGGCCGTTCACGTCTGTGGAGGAGTTTGGACTTGATTTTGTTGGAAATGGATAAGCACCAGGGATTTTAAAAGAGCAGAAGGATGAACTCTGTTCACCTTTCTCTTTGATGAAGATAACTTGGGATACAGTTGGGGAAAGGTTAGAAGGAAAGAGCCTGAAGTTGGGAAGACCTGTTAGGAGGCTGTTATGAGAATCTAGGCCAGAGATGATGAGCCTGAATTGGGATATTAGCAGAGGAAGAGAGAAAAGGTGAAACATTTCAGACGCACTTCTGAGGCAGTAATCCTCAGGCTAAATCCAGGCTCTGGCTGAGGGACTGTGCTCTATAATGAAGCCAACACTGCGTGGGGGAGTGGCAAGCTGAGATTCTGGGCTTTGTTCGTATCCTGACTCCTGGCATCACCTGGAGTCTCCTAATCATTTGAGTTTTTGTTGGTCAAGGCAAGGCACTGGTCTTTCCTGGTTCTTCAGTTCTGGGATTCTATTACGGTGAAATGGAAGCAAGGGAAACAGCAGAAACCTCAAACCAACCTAACACAGTTCAGAACTGCACAGCCCCTTTTTCTTTTGCAGCCAGTAGCCTTTCTATTATTGTACTGAAAAATTTGAAACAGAAGAAAAAATCAGGTGTTGGATTAGTAAGATGTTGATTCTCTTTAAGTTTTATAATTGTGTGATTGAGAACAAACAGTTCTTGATTCACTTGCCTAATATGTATTTTTCTCTAATACTGTGTTGATTTAATTTTCCTTTGTTTTTCTTCAGCATCTGTATTTGAAATACATATTTAAAAGATAAAATATGTATCTAAAAGATTGGCAGTTGAAATTTTCTTTTTTTTTTTTTTTTGGTTTTGGAGGAACTTAGCTCCCTGGATTGGAATCATTTTCTGCCCATTCTCTATGCTCTTGATCTCTCTCAATTTCATGAGTATTTTGAGGGATATCATTCCTGGGCCTTGACCTGATGGGGACACGCTCAGCATTCAGTAGACCACTGGGTCAGTAGACTTCACTCTCCAGCAAGTGGGGCAAAGCCTGCCATGGTTCACTTCTGCCCCTTTTCCTTGAAGTGGCTTTTTGGGAGCTGTTCTTTTCTCCTGAATGGGAGTGTTAGAGACCTTTAGGAAATGATGTCATACTTGAATACTCTTCTTGCTGCAGACACTGTATGTTAACTATCTTTATAATGTTAAAAGCACTTCCTTTTTCATTCTAGTTCCAAAAGACCCAAAACCGCAGTGGAGGCGTGTGGCGTGGAGTTACGACTGCACTCTGCTGGCCTATGCTGAAAGCATGGGGACTGTGAGGGTGTTTGATCTCATGGGAAGTGAGCTCTTCGTTATTGCTCCGGTACGTACATGCCCCAAAACTGCCTTTTATGTATAGGTGCTTGAGTGAATGAGTGAATGTGATGGAAGAGGAAATATAAATCAGGATAATAAGCTGTGGAGTTAAGATCTTAGATCTCGTTAGAGAGCTGTTTGTGGAATATGTCATCTTTGTGTTTTGAAATGTACTATGCAGACATCAGTTCAGTTCAGTCACTCAGTTGTGTCCGATTATTTGCAGCCCCATGGACTGCAGTATGCCAGGCTTTCCTGTCCATCACCAGCTCCCGGAGCTTACTCAAACTAATCTACCATTATTACAAGATGGTAGTAAGTCAGCACTAAATAAGAGGTGTGGAAAGTGGTAATAAAGTTCCAGTGAAGGAAAGAAGTCAATGGGCCATTGGAACAGAACCAGCCTGAGAGGAGTTAGAATTTGTTACCCTAAAGGGGTAGAAATTGAGATAAAAGGCGAAGAAAAAAAAAATTAATGGTGGTAGTAACTTATATTTGTGTAGTGCTTTGTATTTCATTAATGACTGATGTATATTCCTGTGTAATATTCACAACACCCCTTGAGTAGACTGGGTACATGTATCCTCATTTTACAGTTTAGAGAGTTTAAACTGTGAGGAAGTAAAATGACTTTTCCCCTGGTAATCCAGTTAATTAGTGTCTCTTTTAGGAATTCAGTGCTTTTTTTTTTTTTTTTTAACTTTGTATCCTTCCTCAAGTGAACAAAATACAGGGGCAGGAAGAACAGTGGTCCTAATTCCAGCTCTATTTTATAATCACCTGTGAAGCTTTATAAAGAACAGAAAATGAAACAAAACAAATTACTGGATTTCCCAGGCTACACCCAGAGAAAGTCTGACTTAATTGATCTGAGTGGGACCTGAAGATATGTCATGTTTCAGGTCTTTCAACTGATTCTAGTGAGAAGCTGGGAGTGAGAACCAAAGATATAGAGAATGGTTTTTGTTCAAAAATGAGTGGAAAAACTTGAAAAAGTACACTGTGCTCATGTTATAGAAGTTCTGGGGAACCAAACAAAGAAGGTTTAATTACTGTTTTCTAGAGTAGTACTGTTTGTGCTAAGTGACTTCAGTTGTGTCTGACTCTTTGGGACCCTATGGACTGTAGCCTGCCAGACTCTTCTGTCCATGTGATTCTCTAGGCAAGAATACTGGAGTGGTTTGCCATGCCTGCCTCCAGGGGATCTTCCCCACCCAGAGATCGAACCCACATCTCTTACATTTCCTGCATTGACATTGTGTTCTTTACCACTAGCGCCACCTGGGAAGCCCCAACACTGTGTTCAATAGAAATTTAATGTGATCTGTATATGTGATCACATGTAATGTAAAATTTTTCAGTAACATTAAGTTCAACTGGTGAAATTAATTTTATTTAACATATCCAAAATGATTACACGTTTAAATGACTAAAAATTATCAATGAAATATTTCACATTATTTCTTTGGTACTAAGTCTTTGAAATTTGGTGTGTCTTTTTATGTTTTTAGCTTATCTCTGTTTGTATCTATCAGATGTTTCATAGCCACATGTGGCTACACCATTGACATTTTATTGAGTGGTTCTAGACAGTGAGGGTCCACTCAGGGTGGTGAATGTGCTTCCTAAGATGCACTTGCCTCCAGGTCTTTAGCAAATATAGCCTGATATTTACTTGATGGAAAAAGGCTGGTATTGAGTGACTGTTTAAGAGTCCTTTTCTTTAAATTGCCAATTAGGCAAGTTGAAATAACTGGAGACTTCTTTCTTTTCTCTTTCTTTTTAATGTAACACTGGTTACTACTGATAGTGGAAATTAACATTTGTGAGCTTATATCTGAATTCTCTATCTTATAATTCTTTGAGGCTGAATGATAGAATTAGTTTTTTTCTTTTTTATCTTTCTTCCTTTATTTTGCAATGGAAATATAGTCTTAACAGCAATTCACTTAACTAGGTGAACATCTCACCCAAAGAGGATGCTGTGGTTCCAGCCTGTGGTTGGGAGGGCTGGTCTAGACTAGGATGTGTAGTTCTGGGCCCTTTGGCTTAGTAGATGATTCTTCATATACGATCAGTTCTGGGGCTATCTTAAGGTACGCCTGGCAAGGCCAGTGTCTTGAATATCCTTTCATTATACATGTGGTAACTTATATCTAGTATTTTTTAGTGACTTAAATTCTTTCTCTTCCATAGGCATCTAGTTTAGCAGGTGATCTGAGCTATGCCATTGCTGGGCTGATATTTTTAGAATATAAAGCAAGTGCACAGTGGTCTGCAGAACTCTTGGTCATCAATTACCGAGGAGAACTTAGAAGCTACCTTGTAAGGTAAAAATACACTTTATTTGAGATGCCCTGTTTGAAATAATGTTTACTTCCTTGCTTTAGTGTTAGATTTTGGTGCCTTTTTTTTCCTTTCAACATTTAATTATGAAAAATTGCAAATATAAAAGGAAGGTTGATTTACTGTATATCACAAGGAACCTGTAGTCAATGTCTTGTAACAACCTATAGTGGAAAATAATCTGAAAAATAATATATGTGTATTACTGAATTACCTCACTCTGTACCTGAAACTTTGTAAGTCAACTGTACTTCAATACAATAATCATGTTAAGAAAAAAAGGGGAGATATATTCATTCACACTTAAGAGAAATTTAAAAGGATCCACTGTTACTCTATGCTTTGTTAAATAAACCTGTATATAATTTTAAAAAGAAGGTTGAAAGAATTTTGTAGTAAGCTCTCATATACCTCCACTTAAACTCTTGCTTAGCATTTTGCTTTACATACTGTGTCATATTTCTATCTATTTCTCTGGCCATTAATCAGTCCTATTTTTTAATGTATTTCAGAGTCACTACTTATTATTTTAGTATAGTGATAGTGAAGTTGCTCAGTCGTGTCTGACTCTTTGTGAACCCATAGACTATAGCCTACCAGGCTCCTCCGTTCATGGGATTTTCCAGGCAAGAATACTGGAATGGGTTGCCGTGCATATTTTAGTATGCATATGATTAATTAAAGTTCAGAATGTATTTACGTTTTCTTTTGATCGAGAAAATTTGCATGCAATGAAATGCACAGATCTTAACTGTACCAGCCAGTGAATTATAACATGCATACACTTGTGCAATTCAAAGCCCTGCCAAGATACAGAACACTACCATCAAGCAAGAAAGTTCCCTCATGCCTCTTCCTAGTAAAAGCTTTGTCCATACCCACCCTCAGAGGAACTGCTGTTTATAATTTTTCTTCATCATAGATTGGTTTTGGCTGTCTTAGTGATTTACACTAATAGACTTATAGAGTATGTACTGTTTTAGTTCAAGTCTTCTTTCATTTCAGCGTATGTTGAGATTTATCCTTATTTTTACATGCATCAGTAGTTTATTCTTTTTATGGCTGCTTAGTACTTCATTGTATGACTATCTCACTAGTCTTAGTTTGGGTTGTTATAACAAAATACTGTAACTGGGTGGCTTATCAATAACAGAAATTTATTTCTGACAGTTCTGGAGGCTGGAAGTCTGAGATCAGGGTTCCAGCCTGGTCAGGTTCTGGTGAGAGCTCTTTTTTGGGTGCAGACTGCCCACTTTTTCTTATATCCACACATGATAGAGAGACAGCTAGTTAGCTCTCTAACCTCTTATAAAGACACTTAACCCATCTTGACCTGATAGCTCCCTAAGATACCACCTCCAGATATCATCACATTGATATTAGGGTCTTAAATGAATTTGAGGGGATACAAACATTCAATCTGTGGGGATCACAAATCCTCAGTCCATAGCACTCCTGATCTGTTTATCCATTCTTTTGATGGAGCTCCCAGTTTCCAATTTTGTAAATAAAACAGCTGTGATCATTCTTGTGTGTCTTTATGGGTAAATGCTTTCGTTTCTCTTGGGTCAGTATCTTTGAGTGGAATTCCTGAGTCATAAGGTAGATATAGTTTGTTTTTTTATAAGAAATTGCCAGACCTTTTTCAGAGTGGGTATAGCATTCATAGTCCTACTAATAATTTATCAGAGTTCTGGTGGTTTTACATCCTCAGCAATATTTAAGGATATAAATTTGGTGGTGTCTATCTTTATAATTGTAGACATTTTAATGGGTATTTAGTGGCATCTCACTGTGGTTTAATGGTATTTATTTGTTACTTACCTTCTTAAATTTAGTGTTGGAACACATCAGAGCTATCAGGAGAGCCACTGTTTCAGCTTCAGCAGTCATTATCCTCATGGAATCAACACAGCTATTTACCATCCCGGGCACAGGTAAGCAGCCATTTGCTCTCGTATTTAGTGGAGTATTAAAGTGGATGTAGAAGTCTTGGCACAGTTTCAGAGGGAAGAAATTGTCTGTTCTGATTTTTATTTTGGCTTCATTTCCTCCTCTTGTGTATAGTTGCCTTAATGTCTGTGGGGTTGTTGACGCCCCCTTCTGAACATTCATGCTCATCTGCCTGGCACACTGGGCTTCTTGGAGCCAGAATGGGCACTGGGAACATTCACTGAGGAATGTCTTCTCTCTTTGTTCTCTGCGTCTGTTCATATTTGTAAAATGAAGATAATACAGAGCACGTCGCATTGTCGAGGCAGTTAAAAAGCAGTGCATATGAAATGCCCTGGCATGGAAGGACCTCAGTTGCTGTTCTTCCCTTCTTTTGTCCTTTGCAAGTTGGGGCTGCACTGATTATTGCATAGTCAATTTCTGCCACTCCAAGCACAACTCCGAGATACTGTGAACTCAGTTCCAGACTTCTGCAATAAAAGGGATATTGTTGCAATAAAGGGAGTCACACACATTTTTGATTTCTTAGTGCCTATAGAAGTACATTTACATTATATTATAATTTTAAGTGTGCAATAGCATTATGTCTAAAAAAAAGTACATACCTTAATAAAAAAGTACAAAACAGTTAATGGTAGTAACATCAAAGATCACTGATCTCAGATCATCATAACAAATATATTAATAATGAGAAAGTTTGAAATATTGAGAGAATTACCAAAATGTGACACAGAGACACGCAGTAGTTGCTTTTGGAAAACTGACACTTTTAGACTTGCTCTATGTGAGGCTGCCACAGACTTTCGGTTTGTAAAACAAAAAGGCTGTATCTGTGAAGTGCAATAAAGCAAAACAGAGTGAAACAAGGTTGGCCTGTGTGTTTGATTCTTCCTGTGTGCCACTTATCCATGTATTTGCCAGCTACATGGAGGGTTACCTAAAACTTTTGACATTTACTGCTTCCCATGATTTCTCCCTTTGACTTTGTTATTTGTGAATAAAATTTACATATATTTTATAAATTAGTCATGCTAACTTTTTGGTTCTCTAAAAGGGAGGAATATCAAATTGAGTCAGGCAAACCTTGCTTGAGTTCTGAAGTTTGAGACTTACCCTCTTGGCAAGTACTTAAACTCTGATCCTCAAGTATTTTAATTGAAAATGTATGAAAGTTTTCTTTCTGTTCGATTATAGGTCTGTCATTTTTGGTTCAGAATGTCATGAAGTTTTTATACTAAAGAGTACACACACCCACCTGTACAGCTCCAATGAATTCCTGTTTATACTTTCTTGATCCCGTCCCCTCTGGTCCCATGTTGATAGCCACTGTCCTAAGTTTTGCTTAGATCTCTTGCTTTCTTTATAGTTTTACCACTTATTCATATTTAGTTATGATACATAATGTATTTGTTATTGTTGTTCAGTTGCTAAGTAGTGTCTGACTCTTTGCGATCCCATGGACTACAGCACGCCAGGTTTCCCTGTCCTTCACTATCTCCTGGTGTTTGCTCAAACTTGTTTCCATTGAGTTGGTGATGCCATCCAGCCATCTCATCCTCTGTCACCCCCTTTTCCTCTTGCCCCCCTCAATCTTTCCCAGCATCAGGGTCTTTTCCAGTGGGTTGACTCTTTGCATTAGGTGGCCAAAGTATTGGAGCTTCAGCATCAGTCATTCCAATGAATCAGTTCAGTTCAGTTCAGTTGCTCAGTCGTATCCGACTCTTTGCGATACCATGCATCGCAGCACTCCAGGCCTCCCTGTCCATCACCAACTCCTGGAGTTTACTCAAACTCATGCCCATCGAGTCGGTGATGCCATCCAGCCATCTCATCCTCTGTCGTCCCCTTCTCCTCCAATCCCTCCCAACATCAGGGTCTTTTCCAATGAGTCAACTCTTTGCATGAGGTGGCCAAAATATTGGAGTTTCAGCTTCAGCATCAGTCCTTCCAATGAATACCCAGGACTGATCTCCTTTAGGTTGGACTGGTTGGATCTCTTTGCAGTCCAAGGGACTCTCAAGAGTCTTCTCCAACACCATAGTTCAAAAGCATCAATTTTTCAGTGCTCAGCTTTCCTCACAGTCCAACTCTCACATCCATACATGAACACTGGAAAAACCATAGCCTTGACTAGACGGACCTTTGTTGGCAAAGTAATGTCTCTGCTTTTTAATATGCTATCTAGGTTGGTCATAACTTTCCTTCTAAGGAGTAAGCATCTTTTAATTTCATGGCTGCAATCACCATCTGCAGTGATTTTGGAGCCCACAAAAATAAAGTCTGACACTGTTTCCACTGTCTCCCCATGGGACCAGATGCCATGATCTTAGTTTTCTGAATATTCAGGGTTAATTTCTCTTAGGATTGGCTGGTTTGATCTTACTGTCCAAGGGACTCTCAAGAGTCTTCTCCAGCACCAGTTTTTGAAAGCATCAATTCTTGGACACTTAGTCTCCTTTATGGTCCAACTCTCACATCCGTACGTGACTACTGGAAAAAACATAGCTTTGACTATATGGACCTTTGTAGGTAAAGTGATGTCTCTGCTTTTTACTATGATGTCTAGGTTTGTCATATGAATATGTAAATGGAATCACATAGGACAGGGGTCCCCTAGCCCAGGGGTGCAGATGGATCATACAGCAGGAGGTCAGCAGCATCATCTGCCTCTCTCCCATAGCTCTCATTATCCCCTGAATCATCCCCCCAACTCTGGCTTTTGCTTTGTGTATTTCATGATGACTCCTCCATTGTCTATCTTTTTTTTTTTTTTAACCAAGGTCAGTATTAGACGTCCTAGCAGTATTTCAGGAAGGTAAGTGAGGTTCTCTTGGGATCATAGGTTTGAAATTATCATACACTCAGTAGTTATTACATGATAATAACTTGTCATAAGTGAGACTATATTCATTATTTCTTAAGGCTTTCACTTTGTGACATAGGATGTAAGTAAATAAAGGTATTTCTGGAGGAGTGGTCTCAAAATGAAAGTTTTGGAAAGGTGAATTATGAAACCACTGAAGGAGAGCCTCTTCTTGGTTTTGCAGTCATATACAATTTGTGACAGCAGTCAGCTTGGAGATGGATGACTATATTAAGGTTTCTGAATGAGAATTGTTATAAAGCAAGGAATACATGTAAATGCCTTGTTGTGCATGACAAAAATATTGCTAGTTGTTTATATTTTCCATTATGTGATCTTTTTTTAACAAAAGAACCTGAAATATTCATCATATTTTTTATTTATTTTTGGTTACTCTAGTAATGTGAGCCTGTGGTATTTTTCATCCACAAGGATTCTGTAAATGTGAAATAAATCAGCCAGACTGGAGTTAGGATAAATTGGTAATACACAAACTCAAGGTTTTATTGAGAGCACTGTTGAAGAAGAGAAATTGAGGTGGTAAGTTGGGTAATACGAAAGAAAAATTAGTTGAGAAACTTTGGGATAAGCTCTGTGGATTTGTTGGTTTTGACTTTTCTTTTTCGTCTTCTACTCACAGACTAAGAATGCATTTTATCCTCTCCAGACTATCTCGTATTCCAGTTTTGCTCTCCCTCCTACACTTACCCAGACACTTCCTCCTGTTTTCTGTTCTCGGTGTTGCCTTTGTGTGTTAGTTTTGGCTTATGTTGTACCGGGATTCCAGCTAGGAGGAATCTCTGCATGTTTAGAAGGGGCTACATTAAACTTTTAGTACAGGTGGGTTGTGCGCCTGGTGGTGATTAGGTTGTGGTGCTGCCCTCCAGGAGTGGACAGTCTATTTTGGGAGTCACACATTCACAAATAAGGGCATGCACGTAATATGAGTAAGTTAAAATACAATACAGTAGTCTGCCCTATCCACAGGGTGTATGCCCCAAGACCATCAGGGGATGCCTGAAACTTCATATAGTACTGAACCCTGTATATAGTGCCCCCCTCCCACACACATACATACATACCTGTGGTAAAGTTTAATTTATAAATAAGGCACAGAGAATATTTGAACTGCCATCATCACTACTCTTGTGCTTGGGGCCGTTTTTAAGTAAAATAAGGCTTACGTGAACACAAGCATTGCAGTGCCTCACCATCCAGCTCTGATAACGTGGATGGCTAATGAGTGCCTGAAGGGTGGGGCGCACTGGCCAAAGGCATGTCATCTCTCGGGGCAGGGTGTAGCAGAATGGCACAGGAAGGTGCGGGATTTCGTTACACTACTCAGAGTGGTGTGCAGTTTAAAACTTGTAAACTGTTTATTTCTGGAATGTTCCACTTCATGTTTTTGGACTGCAGTTGACTGTGGGTAACTGAAGTTGCAAAAGGTGAAACTGTGGGTGGGTGGGACTACTGTTTATATTTTTAAATGACAGCTTCCACTTTAACCAGCTTTTTGTTGTTCTTGTTGTTTTGAGGTTTTGATCCTAATTTTATTGTAAATTTCTACAAACAAAATCTGACTTATTTAACTTTGAGCCTCCAAGAGTTCTTTTATAACTGCTGAAAGATAATTAGTGTTGGAAGCTAACTTTTTCTAGGTCCTGAATTATATCTCAACAAACACAAAAGGTGGAAAACAAGCCTCTTTTCTTGGTCCCTTTTGAGAAGCCGCTCATTCTTGGAATCCTTGATGACGCTTTGGTATTTTAAGTGTGTAATTCAGTGATTTTTAATAAATATGTAAGTTTGTGCAAGCTCTACGCCAGTAAGTTCTAGAATATTTCCAGTGCTCCTAAAGATCCCTCATGCCCGTGAGTTTCATGGAATGTAAATCAACAACCTCAGTAAAACTGTAATAAAGAGTGGATTGGAAAGAAAAAAGATCCTTTAAGCAGGTTTTCATTTGAACACTTTCTTTTTAAGTTTTAAAATTACTTTTAATTCACATATAGTAAAAAGGGTGTATGTTTTTTACAAAAACTATTGAAGTATAGTTGATTGACAATGTTATATTTCTTCTTTACTGTAAAATGACTCAGTTGTACACATATATATTCCTTT